TCCTGCTGTTGTCATGGCGAATGACCATAATTATCCAAAAAATGGAGGAATCATGCACAAAAAGCGGCATGATTGTGAGAAGCGTGAGAAAGAATAACACCTATTTGAAAGGAAAATTATGACACCAGAAAAATATTTTTATCACCATTTTATGCATTGCAACGCCCAACACCTACATCGTTTATGCAGCCAAGAGTCACAAAATGGACTGCCAGACCACACCGTTGCTTCCCCCACGTTGCTGCAGTGCATCTAACATGCGGATACGTGTGAGTAAATCGCGATTGGGACCGGATGGCCTTCTCTACAGATGTGCAGAAGTCATAATATCGACGCGCTTTGACAGCTTACCACAAAAATCCAGCAGCGCCATTGGGGGCCTTCATGACGCGTATTGTTTCCTATACCCAATTCAGTTGCTACACACGGAACTCAGTCCGAATCTACCCGGCACCCATTGCTAGTCATTTGTATCCCTCTCCCCTCCTTCGCGTTACCCACTCGCCGCGTACATTTTCTCAGCACTTAAGTCATAAGTTGAAGACAAGTCTCGCGAAAAACCACACACAAACTCTTGATAATTCCAGAGCTGTTTGAATAGAGTCGATATCACTGAATCAAGCTCAAGCAGCAATATTTCATACCACTTCTTGAAGTATGTACTTGACATATGATGCACTATTTTACCATATCCGTATTTTGCCCGGAATTTTAATGTATAACCAGCGCATCCCGTCATCCATTTCACGCGGTTACCCATTATTTTACCCAACCCTGGAAGTCCTCCAACTGCCATCATATAACACAGAGCAACATAAGACCTAAAAGTAGCCTACATTTCCAGTCCGCACGGCCAGGTTCACAAATGTGGGTGATGAATTCATAAAGTTGGCTGTACATGTGTTAACTTCGACTTCGCTCGGTTTTACACTTATTATTTTATGCTAAAGAGGACCATAGTAATGCTACTTTTGTCAACGACATGCAATACTCCTCATGTGAACCGTGCTCAAGGTCAGGTCATTGACTGATACATGACCCACGTAATCTCTCACATGCTCAGGATAGCACCATTGTATTAATTGGGTGTCAAGCTTTCAACTGATATCCACGTCGGTTTTGTTGCACGCCACACGCACCAACGATATCCAAAAGGCATGACATGATCTGAATCGGCGACAGAGTGACATCACAGGGTCGGAGCAGGGACGTAGTTTCTAAAAATGAATTTGGGGGAGCAAACAGTGAAAAGCAACGCAACTTAACCCCAAATTGTTCGAACAATCGGGTTTAAATCGGGTTCCGGTTGGGAGAGGGGGCTGAAGTACCCAACTGAATAGGAAGCCGTATCTCTCGGTCGGAATAACAAAGAAAGCTGTACGACATCACTCAGAACATGTGTAAGTCATTTTCCTCTCAGTGAAAACTAAAACTTTTCACACAGGCGAATACCAAACAGTTACGGTTACGGGAAAATATCACAAATTTACTGGATAAGAAAATGAGGAAAGAACTCATCTGTATTTGCAATACATGCGACAGATCATCTGCACTTATAGGAAACGTCGGGTTTATCAGATTTAAGTAGCCGTTTCACAGGTAGGAATTATTTTCTGGTCCAACTTTCAAGATGATCTGACAATTCAGTCAACTATATCTTGTGAGCGATATGAGAAAGAAAGCTAGAAAAAGGACGGATGTAATACGGGATACAGACAAACCTACGTGTCAAATTTGACGGAAGTCGGAGGCGTGGCGAGCATGCACTAGTGATTTGTCGTGGGATCGCCCTACGGTGAGCCGAATGTCCTGGTAGGCTGCACCGCCAGACTGCGATGTGAAGCGGAACAGTATCTCGGTCCTAACGTGGCATACGTTCACGAGGGCGACAGATGATCCGAGGAGCTGAACGATTCCCTGGCCTGTCCGCTTAATCTGGCGTCCACGGCTGGCGTCATTAGAAACTTTAACATAAACGCACTCATAACAGACAAAAATGAAATATTGTAATGCGTATGATGAATAATATAATATGTAATATGTATATGTAAACTCACTGTACTGCTCTCTCTGCTCGGGGAACGCGCCGGCTAACCCAACCGGCCGCTTGAGGAAAGTTGGGTAGGTTGCTCGAAACTTGGTGGGTGAAGCCCAACCAAAGTGTCTCACTCTCGGAGCTTATCCAAAACGTTACTGAACTGGCAAAATTGGGAAACGGCCAAGATATCCGGTCGGGATCAGACCGAGGGGGGGGGGGGGGTGGACCAGCTGGGTGGTTTCACACGATGCCCGAAGTGGATGGAGAATTATATTGGAGCAAGCAATATGCGAGAAAGCAATTCCCTTCACAATGTATTTAGTATAGTAAGGTATGTTTACTCATGCTTTCATCCTCGTCATGTATTTAATGGGAGAGAAGTAGATCGAATTACAATTCCACCGACTACCGACTCGTGTGAAACATTCCGTAAAATACAGATGGGTGGTGTCGAGTGTCGAGTTTTTGAAGATTTCGTCGACATTTTTTTGGATATATGGCTTTGTGGGTTACAGCATACGCCAAATATTATTTGTCGTGTGATCCCTGGCGCTGCCATCCGATCGTGACGCTTCAAATAAACGGCAGGATTTGGTGGCGAATGTTTAGCGCATCACAATGCTCGACACGGTCCGTCCTGCCCTCTGACGTTACCTGATCTTTAGCGCGACCGCCGCCATCGGCTGTAGGCCATTACCATCGAGCGTAAGTGGTGGGTCCCTAAAGCTATTCGAACAAACTACGCCACGGATGGGTGGATCGGAGGCAGGTGGAAGGCAATGCTGGCGTCCTAACCAATTGAACTATCGAGGCAGACGATGCATAAAACCTCCCACAAGTGCAAGCAAACCTAGCTTTTTACCCATGTCATTTAGCCTGGCGTTCCTATCGGTCTCATTTCACGAAAATGGGCAGCGACGGATTAGAAGAAGACGAGCCTGCCGCCTTACAACTTTCAACAATCTAAAGTTAACCCTGCGCCTCTGTATGCGAGTAACGGGGTTTAAAGCTGCCGTTGCCTGGCACTGTCAGGGTTCCTCTGCTAACAATAAAGAGGGAATGTGATGGCCACAAACCTGATCCTGAACGAACCTGAAACCGTGAAAGGCTAAAATGCGGTCCACGTCTTTGTGCACGGAAATGTTTTGTCGATGTTTTTATCTTCGCGGGTGTGAGCACCAGCCTTTTGTTCAAATAAAGTACGTTCTGTCTGTCTGTGCTGTCACAGACCCAATGTTTTTGTATCCAATCAGCATCTGGCATAGGTGGCATGTGTGGATTTTTTGCCAGCTTTTGTTTCTCTGCTTCAAACCAGGGGTGGACGCACCATCTGTTCCTGCGGGATCACAGTGTGTTTTGGAAGCCAGCCCCAAATTGTGTGTGAAACGCATTCAAATAAAACACAAATTACGAAACTTTGGTGTTTTACTTCGTCTTGAAATGGCCGTGGCCCACTTGATCCAACTTGGATCAACTGGGATCTTGGATCAAGATCCAAACATTATTCAGACTAGTGAGTACAGTAATGCCAACCGCGTTGCCCTGATGAACTGGCCGGTAGTCTTCGCTGCTCTTGTGAACGGACCGATCCCGATCCGCCAGTGTCGACGTCCCTAGCACATCAATAGAACTACGATCTGGGCCACACATCAGGCATTGCCATGGCGAGCTTCTCCACAGTTGCCGCACAAACGCTCTTCCCAGGTTTTAAACGGCTTACATGTAACCCACCCACAAATTGGCATGAAAGCAGCAAAAGCATGATTACTTCATCGATGCCGCTGTTCGCAGCGTGCTACAAAAAGCCTCTATACACGTGCAGCTGCGAGAATCATGGCTGATGAGCAGATGGCGACACGCGATGAGAAGAACACACGAAATATTTCTCGGGCGCCTGTTTCAGGAGGGGCTAACCGTTCTTCATATGGCGGTGCTGAACGGCAGAGAAGACATGGTGAAGACGCTTCTCAAAAGGGAGGCAGACATCAATGTCTTATCGGAGGTCAGTTAGTCTGAACTTAACGCATATCCCATTCCATCTGCATCACTTCGGTCTCCGTCTGAGGGCTGAAGTGATAGTTTCATAGCATGTACGAATCTCTGATATTAAGACCAGAATGAAACGTGCAATCAAACAGGGGACGCAATTTCACATTTACTGCGGCGAACAGTGGCGCAACAGTTGCTCAGTCCCTCAGCCAAGTGATGTCCAACCACGCTAATGCCACTTTACTCTCCCTGGAGCTATCTGGTTCGCTGATTGGAAGAAAGTGAGTCTGAACGGCGTAACCAGATGCCGACGTCTGGAACCTATCTCGCTCTGCCGGCAGCCGAAGCGGATGAGCTGCGTGCACCTGGCCTGCACGCGCAGCTCAGCTCCGGCCATTAGCGTGCTGCGGCTGCTGCTGCAGACACGCAGCAGCGCTGCCCGACTGGCCGAGGACGAGGTACGGTCCTTGACGTTGTCGGGCTGGCTGAAGGAGAGTGAGTCCGACATTGTCCGACAAACCGAGAACGTTTCGCGGTCACTCACATCGGCCTATTGGTCGGGGACTTGGTGAGGTTCCCGGTGAAGGTGACTAAAGGCGCATGCTACCCCCCCCCCTCCTCCCCCTCAGCCTCGTCTAGCTAACCAGTAACCAGTCGGCCGCGTTGCCTCTTCTGTGTCACCGGCTTGACCCCCGGTATGACCGCCACCAAACAACCGGGTCCGACCAACGTAGAGAACAAGTCTGACCAAGAGGTGTCAAATCCTGGTGATGATCCTCGTCCCTGAAATTATTGGCGGGCTGGCTGGGAACAAGGACTGGTTCCTGACACCGTCTGGCCGGTTGAGAACACAACGCAGTCCCTGAAATGACTGTCTGATTCTACCTTTGTGCGTCACCTCATTTTGTCATCCACGAATAGACAAAAGACATTGATGAGCCAAACCGGGTACAGATGTGCCTGTTTCCTTCAGGACGGAAACATCCCCCTGTTTTTGGCGGCCGACGCGGGATCGCTGCAGCTCTGCAAGGAACTGCTCAGCTACAACGCCGAGCTTCAGGTACGCGCTACCTTTGCACTGTGAGCTAGATATGCTTGCGACAACGACTCGGAACATCCTATTCTGTGCACGTATGTATGTGCAGTGCAGTAGTAGTTCTCGGCTTTCATGCGCCCTCTGTCTGCACCAGGAGGTAGAATGGTTGCAGCCGGTTCACCTCTGCCACCTGCAATCCAAATCCTCCTCTTTGGGCCGGGTAACGCGTTGCAACGTCCGGAATCGTCTCCACTGTTTGCGGCTGCGTAATGCGCGCTGAGGACGACCCTGACCGCGGTGCCCCGGTGCGCGTGCCGCCGGGGCAGGTCCAGTGCCGCCGCAGGAGCGGTGACACGGTGCTACATATGGCGGTGCGCCGCCGCGACCTAGAGCTGGCCAGGCTGTTCGTGGAGCACGGCGTGCCGGTGGACGCCCAAAACGTGAGTATCCCACTCTGCTGCATACATGCCTCTCTCTCTCTCTCTCTCTCTCTCTCTCTCTCTCTCTCTCTCTCTCTCTCTCTCTCTCTCTCTCTCTCTCTCTCTCTCTCTCTCTCTCTCTCTCTCTCTCTCTCTCTCTCTCTCTCTCTCTCTCTCTCTCTCTCTCTGAAATAGGCGCGAACGATCTTCAGGCTATGGTGCGACTCTGTCCTCTCCATGCCGGCCACGTGACGGGTCACGTGACGTCCCGCCGGCAGGGAGAGGGCCAGACGGCGTTGCACGTGGCCGCCGCCGAGGGCGACGAGGCTGCCGTCAAGTACCTATACAGTCTGCAGGCCAACGCCAGTGTTCTCGACAGTCTCGGTGAGAACGGCTGCTGGACCGCACGTGGTCAAGCTGCTGCTGTCCTTTGTGGCTTTGAGCATCGTTGTGGAAGCTTTTGAGAAAGTGGGGGAGGGGACGGCGGCGGCTGTAGAATGGGACAGATCACGGTTTCACGCTCTAAGGCATACCAGGGTTTTTCCAGAGCTGCCGGGATGATCTTGGTCTAATTGCGTTCCATCCGGCAGTAGAGGATACTAACATGGCCTGACCTTTTGATTTGACCCGGCCACTTTGACCTTACCTGAATTCCTCTCACCAAAGCTCTGGCCTCATGGACGTGACCTTTCTAACCTGTCATGTCCTGCCAGGACCTGTTTGCGCTGTTGATACTCCTTCAGCGACTTCCATGCTCCGTTCTTCTGATTGGTCGGTCCTGCTGTCGTCACTGGAGAAAACTTTGATGCTTCATCTTCCTGATCTGGGCCGCATCGTCTTAATCGGAGTCGTGACAATCGCAACTTTGCACAACACTTCTTTACATCCATGGCCAAATCAGCTGCACACACTGTAGAAGGAGTTGGTCCTGATTGATATGAAACACATCCTCCTAAGATCATCCACGTGTCGCGGTTTTTCATACGGAGATGATTCTGCTGGCGCGGTCTAGATTCTACCTGGAGATATGACTGCCCAGCTGTGTTCGGCAGACCGCACGCCGCTGCACGTCGCGGCGGAGCACGGCTACACGCTGGTGGTCGAGGCCCTGGCGGATAAGTTCAAAGCGTCACTTCTGGACCGCACTAAAGACGGCAGCACTCTGCTGCACATCGCGGCCTGTAACGGCCACACGGGCGCTGCGCTGGCTGCTATCAGGAAGGGCGTACCTCTGCGCATGCCAAACAAGGTGAGCATGCTTACATATTCCAGTAACTAAAAGAGTGCATACAAGAGCAGGGTGAAGCTGGTCCAGGGCTCGAAAGCGTCCCAGAGGGGAGAGCACTCTGACGCCTCCCCCCTCGCACCGGTTGCCGCCCTATCTGTTGGTCTGTCGGTGAGCCGGGTCCGTTCGCAGGCGGGCCAGCACGCCCTCCACACCGCGGCTGTGGCCGGCCACTCCGGCGTCATCTCGGCGCTGATCCAGAGCGGCGAGACAGTCGACACGCCCACGGTGGTGAGATGCGACCTGACGCGGGTGATCTCTAACGGTGCCGAGTGTTTCGAGCCGCAGCCAGGCGTCTGCAATATGTGTGTTGGTTCTGGTATATCAGTAGGCTATCACGATGACGTCGCCCGCCGGCATATCTCCGACTATAAGGAATATATCATTCGTCGTACCTTTTGGTCTCTGACTTTTATCTCATCTTCAAATTTTGAGTGCCTTGAGAAGTTATTGGTAAGCTATTCAATGTTCAGAGTCGGGTATGGTGTGGATAGAAATAACGCTGAGAAAATGCGGCAAAATACGTATGGTAGTGCACGGAATAAGGAAGTCAGTGCAACTGTTTGTTATTTATTTTGTCCTTCACCTGACCCGGTGGAACCGTCTCACAAGGTTTTATCGGGATGTGATCTGTCTTTGTCCATAATCCACTACGGGTCACATCATCTACTGCATCTGCTCATTTACCGGGTGTCCTCTGACCTGAGCTGACCTTGCCTGTCCATCCTGAAGTGTCCTGACCTGCTAGCCCGGTCTTACCGAACTTTTTCTGATATCGGAATGACCTACTAGAACACCTCATTGCCCATCCAGTGGTGGAGATTCGTGGTTATGGCATTACTTGACCTGTATCGTCAGATGACTTCACCGTTCCGCACACAGTGGCAGAGGCTGATGACCGAAATGACATCTTCTGACCCGACATTACCTGATAGCTTAGCTTTGCTGGACTCTACTGGCAGTATGTCGTCACCTGACGTGACCCACCGTGATGGTCCCACTGTATTTCACCTGACGTAAGAGGTGATCGCCCTGACCCGACCTGAGCTGAGCGTGCCTGACCTGACCTGGCGTACCAGGGCGGTCTGAGCGCGCTCCACCTGGCGGCGGCGGCAGGCAGGTCAGAGGCGGCGGAGACGCTGCTGGGCTGCGGCGCCCAGCTGGAGCGCAGAGGTGGGCGGCCTGCGCTGGTCCACTGTAGCACAGGGAAAGCTGGCGCCACATGTGCAGAGGTTGCCGTTATAGTGAATCCCGTGCCTTGGCTGACAGCTACCCAATCCGGCGAATCGGTAATTGCAAACCTAGAATTTTAACAGACTGCTGGACCTGTTGTTTCCATTCCGAAGAATTTGCTGCGTCCTAAGCGCATCGTCGACGAGTTTTGGCACATCGCTCTCATATTGTTTGTAATTCTCTTCTATTGTTATTAATAATTTATTTCCAAAGCCATGTCAGCTTGTAGGACAGCTTCCCCAGCCAAAAGAAATACGTACGCTCAGCTGATAAACGTAAACTTGGGTAAACTGGTACCTTAAAGCATTGGTCATGGGACGCCAGGGAAGCAATGGACCAGTCTGCGGTGAAAGTCTCAAGAGTGTGCTGGAGTTCAACGCGCGATCAAAATTTCTGACCTTTGGCTTTAACGTTGGGCGCCCCTTGTGCCAGCATAATTGACTCCAAATCACAGATTACCCCCATAATGTTGAAAATCTAGCCTGAGCCTTTACATTCACCGCCATTGCGTCGGAGAATCCCCAGAGATCTTCACAATGCAGCCCCATCGTGAGCTGGTACGGCCGGTGATGCAGTCAGGGGTAATGAAGCTTGTGGGGTTTCAGCCGCCCCTCCCCCCCCCCCCCCTCTCCACCCGTCAGGCTCGACCGCAGCTTTTCGCTACGATTCTGCGGAATATGATTCCAGAATCTGATGATCAGGAGAACTATTTTGGTTCTAACCTTATTTTCATGAACACTACCATGGGAAGCGGTAGAAGAGCCCAGGAGCCATAATTTAGCAACAAGACAAGTGGATAGCCAAGTGAACATGTACAATGCCTAGCTGAAACACTTATTTAATGTACCAAAGCGAACCAACATCGATGGCTTATTGATACGCCTGGCTACCGTTTGTGAGATCTGTTGGTCCGTTTACAGCGCGCAGGTACTGTCACTTGGGCTGGGACTCGCTCGTCAGCCCGTTCTCAAATCATGGCAGCCCCTCTATCACAGCTCCTGACAGCGCCCCTGGTCACACTGCCGCCCTCAGGCGGATACCGAGGGGAGACCGCTCTTCACCAGGCGGCGCGGTGCCCGACGGGCCACGGCTGCGTGACTGCGCTGCTTAAGTCTGGTGCAGCTGTACGCAGCGCCATGGACAACGGTAGGGCCGCCATCCTCCTGCACAGCGGGACGGCGGTGTCACGCTGCATGTCACGTGTCCCAAAACGAGCACACGCTCATCAATTTGTTCTTGGTGCTCGGTTGAATCTTTGGAAAGCGGCATCAGTTAAATAATGGTGGCTTCGTTGTTGGCTTTGAGAACTCAATAGCAAAAGGCCTCATATTTTGCGGGTAAACTTCACAAAAAAACACAAACTGGCATCGTGGTATCAGTGTCAAAATGACAGTCAGGAATAAGCCGGGCCTTTTGTTCGTCAATTTGTTTTTGGCGTGTGCCTTAGTCTGTGAAAACGTCACCAGTAAAGTATTGACTGCTTCCTCGCTGATATTACAAACTTTCTGGAGGCTTGAAGCTATGATTGCACACAAGACATCAACGTCTGCGTTTGAAACAACGTATTGGACATATGGCAACGGGCCTGAACTCACTGAGCCAGTATGTATTCACTTAGGCGAGTCGATCGGTGACTTGGTCCTGATACCCTCATCTAAGGATGCAGACCGGTGCGCGGTCACCGGTATACGCACACGCTCTGCTGCGGAGATGGTTCTCACTGCCTCCGTAATAGCTTTATTCCGTTCAGAGAAGCATTTCTTTGGTTAGCCCATTTTTTGGCATTTTGATGCAATACAAACTTAGGCGATGCAAAGGGACAGTGGCCTCCGAAAGTCCCAAATTACCTTGGGGTCTTCCAGGTATTTGTGGAGAGTGAACTCTTCTTTGAGCCGTGTTTTGACTACAGGTCAGCAGTCGCTGCACGTGGCGGCAAGACGAGGTCACCTTGAGACGTGTCGGCTGCTGCTGGAGGACGGCGCTGATCCGGGGGCCCAGTGTCAGGTCAGAGCAGGTCGCCAGACAGCCGCACACTGACCCAGAGCATATTGTGCTGCTGTTCTTAGGAACCACGGCACTGTCATAGTGATGTGCTGATAATGGTCGAACCGAACGCCCGTGCGATGCAGCGCAGCTCGCAATAAAGCTCTGGCGCCCAGCAGCCGGCACTGGGTCCCAATAGCGGACCCACATTCCAGGATATCTCCCGACGGTGCACAAAATTGTTGGTAATCGGAATCTGAAGGCAGGCGCCGCACCCCATCCAGCTATCGGATGAATTATATTGTATTCCGGGACGCGCACGGCTTAGACTATACTAACGACACTTCGCCGGTATGGCTACTTCCTAGTTTTACCACCAAAGAGTATCGAGGAATGAAATCATGGCATTTCTTGCGGTGTGCTCCAGAGCAAAAGAAATGTGGGATGGTGTTGTTTTTTAACTTTTTATAAACAAATCTGACCTTTAGTACAGTTTCCAACAGTTGGACTTTCTCAAAATAGTGAATAATTTATTAATTGCGTCGTTTATCCATAACCCCTAAGACTCAAGAACGGCATCTGTCGAACGGGCTTAAACCAAATTGCCCTCATGCTACTTGGACGTAATGCAATTCACCCCTCCCCCTCCGCTATCGTTTGTGGGGTCTGTTTGTCTGATCGTAGAACGAAGGCACTGTCAGTGAAGCTAGTCTTTGCTCGTAAATAATCCCCCCCCCCCACCGCTCATCATAGTAGCGACGACCATTCAAGCCACCCATGTGCCACCACATGAGATCGTTCAAGCCAGACGTGAGAAGTCACGTGAGAACGCCACCGGCAGATTAGCGACGTCAGCTACTACAGCGGTGTGCTGACTTCAGATGCCATCAGCTCAGCGTGGCGTGTGATGTCATCCATGACCGCCTCAGCTGTGACGTCACACTAGCGGCCATTCCAGGCCGGCAATACACCGCTTCACCTGGCCTGCGAGGCGGGCCGGCCGGCCGTGGTGGCCGCCATACTGCGGCACGTGGCCGACTGTGGCGGGGGCACCTCCAGCTTGGAGATCCTTCTCGACCGTCGGAACTGTCGCGGAGAGACTGTCATCCACTGCGCAGCCAGACAGCGACAGGCGCAGGGGCAAAATGGTGGCGACATTGTGACCCTGCTCTGCGCAAGCGGCGCGAGGCTGGATGTGATGACGTCACAGGTCATTGGGGCAGCTGTGCGTGGTTGGTGCCTGGACCACGCTCCCCATTGGTTAAGTACCTACCTGAGTCGCTACCCATGATGTCATAGGGGCCTAAGTCACACACAAGCGACTACACTTCAAGCATCGGCACTGTTGTGATGCGCTTGCCTGTGACGTCACAGGCTGCAGCTTGCAGGCGGGGTTTTCAATGAGCAACGCAGCCCAGATTTACACCTGGGACATCACAATTTACGGTGGTTTCGTGCAGGCGGCGCCAGACGGGGCCTGGTGGCGTCGAAAGTCAATGGGACAGCTGTGCGACAGCACCGCTGAGTTGGAACCTTATAACGTCATAGTTGTTAGCAGTCGCGGCTCTGCGCCACTGTCCGGCTGGAGTGGGTCTCATGGTATACGATCCGACCTGGTCCTGCCCTGCTCTACCTTGCCCCGCCCTGCCCTGCCCTACCCTGCCCTGCCATACCCTGCCCTGTTCTGTCCTGCCCCTGTCCTATCCTGTGCTGTCCTGTGCTGTCCTGTCCTGTCCGGTCAGATACAAACCTCGACCGCTAGTACAGGGCGCCCCCCCCCCTCCCTATCTTGCAAAAAACGGACCCGCGAAACTTTTTGCAATATTTCGTTTATTCATTCAGTTATCACTAGCCGCCCCATACACACTCATAGCCGCCACCGAAAGCTTAAATTTATGCATTTCTTTCGAACGTCTTTCAGTGACCGGTCTCTGTACTCGTAACTGATCGCTCCGCATTGCATACAAATGGTTCTTTTTCAGGAAAACAGCACACCCTTCCATCTCGCCGCTCGTTGCGGAAACATCCAAATTCTGGAGCAGATGCTGCTGCACTTAAATGATCAGGTGAGGACTGTTCTACTGCTGCAGCCCCCACTGGTGACCTCTTGTGACTCCATGAACGCCGCACAGCAGTTCATCTTGTAACGCATCGCATGTGCCACAGCGCTGCGTGCACCCACGAGCTGCCTGGACTGACTGGAAGGTCGCGCCGCCGCAGGAGCCGAGCCTGCAGCAGGTGCTGAACGTGCAGACGGTCAGCGGCCACACTTGCCTCATGGAGGCCGCCCAGCAGGGCCACCAGCAGATAGTCAAGATGCTGCTGGACCAGGGCGCAAGGTACATGGCTGCACGCCGCCGCCGCTGGACCGTGCACCACTCCGCTCCCCAGCGCCGCTCCTCTCCGGTCAGGCCAACGCTCTCTGCCAGCCGCTTGCTTAGTGTAGGTCAACGGCTGGGTCTGGAAACAGCGCCACTCCCGGCACCACTCCTCTCCCCGGCACCACTTCTCTCCCCGGCACTACTTCTCTCCCCGGCACTACTTCTCTCCCCGGCACTACTTCTCTTCCCGGCACCACTCCTCTTTCGGTGCCGCTCCTCTCCCCGGCACCACTCCTCACCCCGGTACATCTTCTCTCCCCGGCACCACTCCTCTCCCCGGTACATCTTCTCTCCCCGGCACTACTTCTCTCACCGGCACTTCTTCTCTCCCCGGCACCACTCCTCTTTCGGTGCCACTCCTCTTCCCGGCACCACTCCTCTCCCCGGCACCACTCCTCTACCCGGCTCCACTCCTCCCCCGGTTCTCCTCCTCCCCCGGCACCATTCCTCCACCCGGTTTCACGCCTCCACCCGGCTCCACTCCTCCCTCGGTTCCGCTCCTCTCCCGGGCACCACTCCTCTCCCGGCGCTGCTCCTCTTCCCGTCGCAGCTCCTCTCCGGCCAGGCCAGCGCCCTCTGCCAGCCGCTTGCTTAGTGTGGGTCAACGGCTGGGTCTGGAAACAGCGCCTGCTCGACGCTTTGGCAGGCGGCTCGTGTTCACGCCGTCACAGGTGCAGACCCCGTAGGAGCTGACATTCCACATCTGACCGAACCCCCCCCCCCCCCCCGACGGCCGCCTCTCACCCCCTGCTCCTGCACACGCTTTCGTCGGCAGGGTGGACCTGCTGGACTCGGAGGGTCGGAGTGCCCTGCACCAGGCGGCGGCCGGCGGTCACCAGGCCGTCTGTGAGACGCTGCTGGAGCGGCCGGCGCCCGTCAACGCCCGCTGCCGGGCCGGCCGCACTCCGCTCCATCTGGCGGCCGAGGGTGGCTTCTCCCAGCTGGTGGAGGCCCTGTTGCAGCGGTACGGCGCCGCCGTCGGCATCGCCGCCCAGGTCAGTGGCGCCCGCCTGACCTTCGAACACGCCTAACTGGGACGGCTGATGTAGCCCGCGCCGCCTGTACGCCGAGCGGTGCGTAGTCCGTGAGCCCCGACTGACCGGCGGGACCGTCCGGCGGTAGGACGGGCTGACACCGCTGCACCTGGCGGCGGCGGCCGGGCACCTGGAGGCGTGCAGTGCGCTGGTGCAGGCGGGCGGCGACACGGGCGCCAGGGACGCCGCCGGCCAGACGGCCGTCGTGCTCGCCGCCCGACACAACCACGCCGGCGTGGTCAAGCTGCTGCTCAAGTACTGTCCCGAGCTGCCCGACTCGGCTGACCAGGTACTGCCCCGAGCTGCCCGACGCGGTCGATCAGGTACTGCCCCGAGCTGTCCCGACTCGGCCGACCAGGTACTGCCCCGAGCTGCCGACTCGGTCGATCAAGTACTGCCCGAGCTGCCCCAACACGGCCGATCAAGTACTGCCCAGAGCTGTCCCGACTCGGCCGACCAGGTACTGTCCAGGGCTGTCCTCAATGAGGCATTGGCCCGATCAAAGCTCGGAGAATAAGATGCTGGAATGTCTTTTGATGTCATAAAACGCGAATGAAACGCACACTTTAAAGGGGGGGGGGGTCCAGGTAAGAAAAGGACCGAGAAAAGAAATGACTTATCAGGATGATAAGGTAAGTACGGTAGACAAGGGTGACATAATTGTTGTATTTACGTCGAATTTCTTATCTAAACATCCATCATCACCACGAACTGGTCTAGCGATCGCCTCAAATTTCGTGTTATAATTTCAAATGTGTGAGCGAACCGTTAAGGTCCTAGACGGTTAAACCAGCAATTTTTACTTGGGCTCACAGATCAAGCTTAGATTAGCCTGAGGCCCAGGACAGGACGTAAGCGGAGGCTGGTTCGCACTTCCCGCAGGAGGGCAACACATGCGCGCACGTAGCCGCGCTGACGGGCTCCGTGGCCGTGATCAGGGAGCTGCTGACCTTCAGCGCCCAGATGGTGACCTCCTGCCGCAACGGCTCGCTCGGCTCGACGCCGCTGCACCTGGCGGCCGCGGCGGGAAGCACGGCGGCCGTGCGGGCGCTGGTGGAGGCCGGCGCCAGCGCCACGGACGAGGACTGGGTGAGCTGGTTCCCCGGCGCCGCCACCGGCCGCGTCTCGGCAGGGCTGTGGGGCGCGCTGGAGGGGCCGCCCGCTGTGCGGCGGGTCACATGGGGTGGGAGGGATGGGGGAGTTAGGCTGGTCCCCGGCCCGCCACCGGCCGCGCCTCGTCGGGTGTGGGGCACGCTGGAGGGGCCACCCGCTGTGCGGCGGATCACATGGGGTGGGAGTGGGGTGATGGGGGTGGTCCGGACGGGCTATCAGGCATGTCATACTTGACCTAGGATGACAGTTCAGGCGTGATGGGACATAGAACATAGATGGAACCCATTACAGTCAGTGAGTAGCATCCGCGGTATCAGATGGGGTTTTCGCACGTCCAGCTGCCCCTTCCTCTCACACAGCTGGCGTCCTTCTGCAGCAAAACGGTGGAGTTCGCGATTTCAGATGGGGTTCACACCCGTCCACCGTCCCCCCCCCCCTTCCTCGGGAAGGACACAGCTGGCGTCCTTCTGCAGTTAAACAGTGGCATCCGTGGTTTCAGATGGGGTTTACACCCGTCCACCTGGCCGCTCGGGAGGGACACAGCGGTGTGCTGGAGCAGCTGCGGGCGCTCAAGGTCTCAATGGTGGCCACCAGTCAGTTGACAGGCCTCGGCACCCTCCATATGGCAGCCCTCCACGGACAGGCGGGTGGGTGCCGACTGCGGGCCTGGTCTGCTCGGTCCGGTTAAGTCCAACTTGGTTCGGTCCTCTGTCCGAACCAGTCCGGCACAGGGACGCAGCATAAACCCGCAATCCTGGAAATATGGGCTGCTGTGAGCAATGGAAACATTTCGCTTGGAATACCTCTGAAACTCCCGCCACAGCATTATATTTTTACCGCGTTCCAGAACAGCGGAGCTGTCCGAGACAGTGCACGTGGGTGTGCAAGGCACGGTGGTTCACCGCAGTCTGCACGGCTGTCCCAAGCGTGCCCGGTGCCAGGTCGGGCGTCCCGGCACCGGGGCCGGCCTCAGCACGCCTCTCTGTCCGGCAGACGTGGTGTGGGAGCTGCTGCGTCACGTGCCGGCCGGTCTGCCGTCGGAGCCGACGGCGGGCGGCGTGTCGCCGCTGCTGCCGCCGCTGGGCGCCGAGTCGGCGCTGACGGCTCTCCACCTGGCGGCGTACGCCGGCCGCGCCGACGTCCTCCGCCTGCTGCTGAACAGCGCCGGCCACGTGCGGCTCGACTCGCCCACCGCGCCCACCGTGAGTGCCGCCGCTGACGCCACATTCACTCGTGGGTGACGTCACATCCTGCCGTGACACGTGACCGGTCGCTGGCAGGGGTACACGCCTCTGCATCTGGCCTGTGTGAGCGGCCAGCGCGAGGTTGCTGCAGAGCTGCTCAGCCGGCGGCTGGACCAGGTGACGGCCGCTGACCAGCGCGGCCGCACTGCTCTCCACCTGGCCGCCCTGCACGGCCACGCGGCGCTGGCTGCGCTGCTCCTGGACCAGGGAGCCCATCCGACAGCCCCAGACAAGGTCAGGCGCCCGTCAGACGAGCTCCAGTGTCAGGCAGAGGTACGCACAGTGTGGCTGGGTAACCGAGTGGGAACTTGCCCGCGCTCTTGTCTGAAATCGACGGCATCCCCAGCCGCAGCGGACAATCGCCTGGAGCCATTTGCGAAGTGTCGGCGTGGTTCCCATGGATTGTTCGAGCGCGCGAAGTGAAGTTCCGTGCCGTTCGATTTTCTCTTTAAGCGTCCGGTGGCCGTGGCTCCGGCACGACCATCCCTTTCAGGATAGCCTGACGGCGCTGCACCACGCTAGCCAGGGCGGCCATCTACCGATGGTCCAGCTGTTGGTGGAGCGAGGTGCCACCTCTGACTGGGACAACGACGACGACACTGACGCCGTCATCAACCTCGCGGCGGCGGCAAAACACGCGAACGTCGTCCAGTACTTGATGCGTCAGGGATTTATCAAGCACGCGCTGTTATCTGACTCCAAGGCAAGCATGCATGACTTGTAGGTACCCGCATTTATCGGCGGGCAAAAAAAGCGCGCACATCAGCAGAATGTGCCTTGTGTCGTTTGTTTTTGTTTTTTTTTAATTCAACCCTGTCAATTTGATTGGATAGGTTTATGGGACCAGCACCCTCGATAAGTTGTGCTTGTTTCACGAGCCCTGCCTTCACTATTCGATTGCAAAATTCCAGTTCAACGGTAGAGTTTTGTGCCGAAAGTTTCACATGCCACGATGGTTGGCACGGTTCAACCCGCCCTCTCACCGTATCTGATTTTGAGCAGTCGCTGCCACCGATCTCAGGCCGCCCCGGCCAGGGTCCAATAGCGCGCGCCGAAGCGGCTCCAACCCCCACCCGCACCCCACCCAACCGCGGCTCGGACGGGAGGCACGTGCTCTAACCGGCTGAGCTACCGACACCGGCAGACGATTCACAAGCCACTCACGTTGATAGGCGACCTAGTTCAGACATTAGCCGAGGGCTGACGGCCTCTGGTTTGTCGTGATTGCTCGAGGTGTGGTACCGTCGCGTGCATGCTGATACCCTAGTAAGATGGAGAATACCTGCTCATGCACGTGAGGCTCACATTCACTCCTGTGTGCTTGTAACCGATGCCAAGAGCGCGTGGTCGACAGAACATGATCTATAGTTTAGTACGTGGTATGACCGGGACTGGAGAGGTGCTGCCGATGCCAAGGGCGCGTGGTCGACAGAACATGATCTATAGTTTAGTACGTGGTATGACCGGGACTGGAGAGGTGCTGTCGATGCCAAGGGCGCGTGGTCGACGGAACATGATCTATAGTTTAGTACGTGGTATGACCGGGACTGGGGCGATGCTGTGAGCACCTTTTGATTTGATTGTCGCGCGCGGCCTCAGTTCATCGGCGACCTGGCGCTGATGTCCGCGAGGGATGAGTACCGCCTTCTGCAGGACTTCATCCTCCTCTCGCCAGTGCCGGTCTACTCGGCGGTGAAGCTCGCTCACCGCCTCCAGCAACTGTCTGAACAGGTGAGGGTGACGGACCGGCAACTACCCGAGCACCGGCGAACGGGGCCCGCTTGGCCTCCTCACCCGCGCTGCAGCACACTCCAGGCCGCACTGTGCACCAAATACGCGTATGCCATATGCTGCATATGATGCTGCAGTCCTGACCGCAGCGCCATCTGGGCCGTACTGGCCACGACTGTGGCGCCCTCTGGGCCGTGCTAGCCACGACCGCAGCGTCAGCACGGCAGAGGCTCACGTTGGCGTATCGCGAACCCCTCCACCCGGGTGGCGACGTCTGAGCGACGACGCCTGAGGCCCGGCCGGCCGCCAGCGGACCTGCAGTGTGTGTCTCCAGTGAGAGGGTGTTCGCGGCAACCGCCCTGACTGGCAGCCGCGCGTCGGCAAGGCCGCACGCGTCGCGCTGCGGCCCGCCGGCAGGGTCTGACGAGCTGTATCGGCAGGAGGGGCCGCACGCGCCGGAGCTGCGGCCGCCGGCAGGATCTGACGAGCTGTATCGGCAGGAGGGGCCGCACGCGGCAGCTGCGGGCCGCCGGCAGCTGACAGCCGATCGGCAGAGGGCCGCCGCTCGCAGCTGCGGACCGCCGGCAGGATCTGAAGAGCGTTATCCGCAGGAGGGGCCGCACGTGCCAGAGCTGCGGGCCGCCGCGGCGCTGTGCCAGACGATGGCGGCCGAGCTGCTGGCGCTGGCGGCCAGCTCCAGCTCCACCTCCATCGGTCTCCTGCTGCAGGCTGTCGACCCGGACCAGACGGAGCTGCTCGACCTGCTGCTGCAGCTGCGGCAGAAGCAGGCAAGAAAGCTGCCCGCCATACTGACGAGAGGCGCGCAGCTTAGTGCAGGCCCAGGCGACGTGCGACATGACCACACGGGTTGTCAATGTTAAAGTCACCATTATTCACGCCCATTACGAGTGGCAATTGCAATGGATTGTCATAACAAATAATAAGCCGAGACTAGACCTAATGCCACCCCCGGCAAACCAATGCCGGTGCCTTCTCAGAGCGCCTGGGAGCCGATGCCAGCACCTCCTCACATCACCGCGGGGGGGGAGGACGATGCAAGCACCAGCTTACAACATACTGGATTGGTCTCTCACTCTTAATCCAAGTGGCAGGATACAAGCCTTATTTGACATTTGGCTCTGATTCCGACTCGAAGAAATGTGGTTTGAATTATAAATTCATCGCGTTGAAGTGCGCTTCGTCGACAGCCAGCTAAGATCTGAGGACGGCAAAAAGCTCACATTTCATATTCGTTTAAAACAAGGCAGCAAGACACTCGATATTCCATTAGTTGCAGAGGAGTAATTTCACAAAACGATTTAGGGTTTGAGGCGCTGAACGGTGAAAAATGATCTGACCTACCCCCAAAACATGCCAACAAACAGGTTTCTCGCCAGATTTGCCCACTTCCTTCCCGAAGCTGGAGGGCTGGAGCCCAAATTGGGCGGGTGGGTAGTGGTGGTGGGAGAGGGAGGTTAAATCTCCCGCCAACTGAATAGAAAACTACATCCCAGATTAGTTGTGCATAGATCGTGCAGAGCATCAGATTATGAATGCTTTTTGAAAGATTTTATCCGAACCTCTTTGAGTGGACGGATTTCTGGGTTTAGGGTTGACGCTGAGCAGTGCCTGTTATGTGAGCTCTGACCCTTACAACCCCATCGAGCAATTTCAGGTCAGTGATATAAGTCAGTTAAAAATTTGGTGGGGCAAGTTTAACGTGCGTCATGTTTGGCACGGCCCACCTGCCCTCTGACATCTTCTGATCTTTAGCGCGGCGGCAAACCATGTCTGTCAAGGCTAAACAACGGGTGCCAAAGGCGACTGGAACCCACCCCGTCACGAGTGAGTGGATAGGAAGGCAGGTGCTCTAATCACCGAGCTATCGGGACTGACACACGATGGACAGCAGCTCTCTGTCGGAACGGGCACTAGCCGTCTGTTGCCATTTACATGCTACCTGCGTCACCTCATCCTAGATTTCACCACTTGCATTTGAATCACCACCAACCCCGCCTTACATCCCCGCCTGCGCTCTTGTCGCCAGGTGATCGCCCACCCGGTGGTGCAGCGCCACCTGGCTGAGGTGTGGCGCGGCGGTCTGCCGGCCTGGCCCGGCTGGCGCTGGGTCGCCCTGCTGGGCGCGCTGCTGCTCTGCCCGCCGCTGGGCGCGCTGCTGGCGCTGCCCGGCGCGCCGCGTTGCGGCCGCGCGCCGCGCGTGCGCTTCGGCGCGCACCTGGCCGCGCATGCTCACTTGCTGCTGATGCTGGCGCTGGCGACGCTGGCGCCGGTGCGGCCCGCCTGGCGCGCCGGCGCGCTGGAGGCGGTGTTGCTGTTCTGGCTTTCGGGCCTGCTGCTGGCCGAGCTGACGGCCGGCGGCGGCGGTGCGCCGGCGCTGCTGCGGCTGATGCAGTTGCTGCTGGTGGTGCTGGCGCTGGTGCTACACACGACTTCGCTGACGCTCGGAATGGCGCACGACCGGCAGCACTCGCTGTAAGGGGTCCTGCTGCAAACGGCCTGCTGTTGGCCAGGAGAACTCAAGAACGGGTGCAAATGGAGGTCGGCCATTGAAATATTGAAATCGGCCATATTGAAACTGCTTTGAGTTACTAATGTGCCGGTTTAATGCCTGATTCGGTATTCATTAAATGTTTGCCGTTGTATTTGGAGGCCCTTCGACTTTAAAGGCAATGCCGGATCAAGTTTTTACCCGTGGTTCTCCATCAGCTTCAGTCACAGCATCAGATAATGCGGCGGTCAACAAGTACTGATTCACACTTCCAGATACATTCGAAACCAGATTCTGGCTCCGGTGCTTTTTCTTGTCTGCGTCCAGATACTGGATTTTCTTGCGATCCACCGACTGTTCGGCCCCTGGACCGTCACCCTCCGAGCCCTGATGGTTGACCTGGAAAGGTGAGGGGCTTAGGCATAGTCCCTGGGATAGCCGTGCACTGGTAGTTTGATGTACGTATTGATCTGTATCACGTGTGCAGTGATGCATATCTGTTGCGATCGAGGATGGTCAACACATATCGCCTGCCTAACTTAATGCTCTTCATGATTTTTTATTTGCTCAGTTCAGTCCAGCACACCTTGTCACCAGCACACCTTGTCTACGTTCAAACCAACTATTTAATGATATTTCATTTTGTTTCAGATATTTCTTATGTGTACATGCCTTCCTCGGGTCCCATTGTATCCTTCGTGTGTTCCTCTTTGCGTTTAGTTGTGCTCTGACGCTGCATTGCTGTGGTTTAAAGGTACCAGATCGCTGTATGACGTAGTGAGTCGCAGGGCTGTAACGCCAGTGCTGACTGTCGTGCCGGGCCGTCCGTCCGATGAAGTGTTTATGGTCGCTGCCTGACGGAAGCCATCCGGCGCCTCTGCCCGCACGCGCCGCTGATCGCCCGCCAGACTCCTGGTGGTCGTCGCCGTGTTCGTGATGGGCTTCACACTGCACATGACGGCCATCTACCAGCCGCTGCGCCCGCGGCCGCCGCCGCCGGGCCCGGAGCACGGCCTGGGCTATCCGCCGCGCGGTGCGTGTCCGGCCGCGCCAGCCGAGGCAGGGCTGGGCCGAGACCGCGCAGGGCCGAGACCGCGCCAGCCGGGGCAGGCGGGCCGCCGGCGGGGGGGGGGGGGGGGAGGGGGGGGAGGGGAGGCCGGACTGTGCCGCTCGCGTCGGGGCGGCAGGTGTCGCGAGGGCCGGCAACCGCCGCAGCTGTGGGCGACTCGACGACACGGCTGGACGTCTTGCAGAGATATGGTTTTGAGTGCGGGTTCGGTGTGGGGAAGCTCTTAGCGACTGAAAATTCAATAGAGAAAAGCCATGGGGCCGCCAATGTGATGTTGACGTAGCATATTTGCATCGTGGGGCGCGTCATATGGTCTATATGGTGGACAATTTAGCAACGCTTCTTTCAGTCGGCGTTTCCGGCGGAATTTAATTATGGTAGTTCGCTCACACTTTATTACAATTTTATATTCTTGTCCTTTGTCGGGACTCCATACATCCTACGCTCAACGTGTATGAAACTGAGTCGACGGAATATGGACTGACTATGCCGGAAATGAAGGGAAGCTATTGCCAATATGGCCTGGTATCCACCCAATCTTCTCAGAGCTGCCGTTGCCGATATATTGACACTGTGTGTGACAGAGCTGCCGTTGCAGACGTGTCGATGCTGTGCGACAGAGCTGTCGTTACAAACGTATTGACTCTGTGCGACAGAGTTTCCGGTGCAGACAGCGCTGCTGCCGACAATGGAGATGATGTTCTTCGCTATGTTCGGCCTGGTCGACTCATACAACTTCCTGCCGCCACTGAGCACCCACCCGGCCTGGGCGTCGGTCCTGGTCAAGCTGGTGCTGGCCGTCTACATGGTCGTCACAGGGATCGTGTTGGTCGGCCTGTTGGTGGCTATGATGTGCGGCACGTTGCAGCGGCTCGGGGTGAGCATCTCAGGGGTGCTGAGGGTGGGCTTGGCGCACCCGCCGACGAACGCACCCCCGTCGCTGAGGTACCGCGGTGCTATTCACCAGGGGCATGCTCGGAGTTGGGGTCGGTGCACCAGCCGACGAACGCACCCCCGTCGCTGAGTTCCCGCCACGCTACCGACCAGAGGCATGATCGGAGTTGGAAAATCGTTTCCAAGTTTGCCGCCGCCAGACACGGCCGGCCTGATTCTGATGCCATCCACTGACCGACTCTGGCTAGGATCAAACGTGATCTGAAGTCCGTGGCTGACATCGAATCAAGGGCCATTTATTTCATGATTCCGTCCAACGACTCATCTGCTGCTTCGGTGAAGCCACGCAAACTTTGTCTTCATCGGTGGATTAGATCGAGCCTTGGACGGCCTGACCTGATCGTTGGTCCTTCAGAGCCTCGGTCCTGGTTTGTCTGTGCCAGGTGTCTAAGCCATGCCGCCGCCCGCGCCTGCCGCGCTGACCCTCGCTCGGTGCGGTCGACTTTCGGCCCGCTCCGCGGCAGCCGACGATGGTCTCAGCTCCCGCTGAGTCCCCTCGAGTACGTCTCCGACCGAGCATCGACGACTCTGGGACCGTTGGCAGTCGGAGTCGGACACCGAGTGGAAGTTCGGGGCGGCCCAGCTGATCCGGCGCCTGAGTCAGAGCTCGTCCCCGCCGGCGCCGCTCAACCTGGTCACCAAGCTGTTCGTCAGCCTGCACGCCCTCGTCCGATTCAGAGGCGAGCCGGCGCCGCGCGGGCAGAGGCGCCCGCGTGCGCGAGAAGGGCTGGTCTGTGCGCTGGCACGCCGGGGTCATCGCCGGTGCAAGTGGGATGGGACAGTTCCGTCTCCTGCCTAACTTAGTTGTTTTAAAAGTGAAACTCTGGTGTTGACGTTATTTGTCGACATCAATGGAACTTGGGCGTGGTGCACCGCCGTTTTCATATTGTGCGGAGGAAACATGTCGATGTATTTAATGAACACAGCAAACTATAAGTATATTACAATGCTTGTCAAGGAACAACTGATGTTGAACTGAATTATGAATACCCGTATTTCAGAAAAATCCGTTTAGCTGGCAACTGGAGAATTAATGTCTAAAAACGAAATGCAAACAATGACCGCCTACGTTCCAAATGTGTTTTGCCCGATGTTTCGTAACCTCAGCATCTGCGTGGTCGGTGGGTGAGATGCGTGACTGTCTGTGGCGTGACGGCAGGACGCCTGTGGGACCCGCGGGCCCTGCGTCAGATCAGGACAGAGCGGCTGGTGGCCTGCTCCGCCCCGCCGCCGGCGCGCGCCCAGACCGACCGCGACGCCGACGGTGGCCGGCGCTCGCCGGTCTCGCCAGACGCAGGTATGAGGTCTGGAGGGAGCGCGCTGGGACGGTCGGAGAGGCCCATCGCGCACCGCAAAACCCCTTAGTTGGCTATTCAAATGTATACAGCTGTACAAAGGTTGGCATAGCTATGTCACATCGTTTGGGAGTTACTCGAAAAAAACCTTGAGGGAGTCAAGTTTATCTCCTCCCGAACGCATGCCTGTCAAGACAATCCCCGCTCAACCCACCCTCGATCCAAGGTCAACTCATATAGGATGCCCCTTCAAAAACGCTCAAAATGTGATACGCAGAAGACCGTTCACGGTATACTGATACGCTCCAGTGCGGGAGGAATACTCAATACAGGAGTTTTGCTTCTATCGCTAGCTTTACAAGTCCCATACTCGATAAGTAAATGCTAAATGCTCACCAAATGATACATGTCGTATTTTAAGAACAATCGACCTTGCCCGTTAAAGCCGGTCGTTCTCCAGTACCGCTAAAAAAGAGCATCTGAGCTACAGCCAAGTCAAATCACTTTCTCTGCTTTTCTCCCATGGCTGAGTTCTCATAAAGCTTACCACGACAAACAATGGCGCCTGTTTCATCGGCCCCTAACCATTTTGCTAATTTTTAGATAAAGGGTAGCATATGTAAAATATCAATTCCAAAGCAGATTAGCAATATGTCCTTACTTCGAGCGTCACAGCGAGATATCTCACCCAAAATAAAATTAATATTTATTATATGATATCGAATATCGCCGATACCAATATCAATTTCCACCGAATATCGTCATCAAAGGACTCCCGTGGCGATCTGATCGAACTGTAAGCTTCTTTTTTGAATAGCTTTTCTGGTTTTGGAATTGCAGAAATATTGAAGGTTTTTCGTCTATGGCTTTATTTTCCACATATATTACCATAGGAGTCCATAACTGATTTGGGCAGCCCCTACAGTTCCGCTGATTAAACACAAACCGTAGCACGACTTATAGTAAATCAGTTCACATGAAAGTCCCGCTGAGAAAATTTACTCTCATCCCAAAAGTAACGATAAGACGTCCCATCCCAGCTCCCATCTCACCGCATGCCGCAGTGTCGCACGTCAGACGACTCTCCATGACCCGAGGCTTTTCGCAGGTCGCGACACCTAGCCCGCGCCTGCTTTCAGAACAACAACCCTAACTCGGGGTCGGTTTTCGTAGCTGCGCCGTTGACGGGGACCCGTTTTCAGACGGGGGCCGGACGGCGCTGATCGTGAGGCGGGCCTGTGCGTCAGCTGCGGCACGGCCTCGCCGTCTGGAGGACGCCGTCGACTGGCGCAAGGTACCGACAGCTCCGCAGTGTGTCGGGACCCGGCCACTGGGGGGTCACGACCCAAGCCAGCACCTGGAGGGAGCACATGCATAGCGTGCCGCACGGCGTTACGCTCCGTGTCGTGGCTACATTGGTCATATTAACGCCCAGGGGCCATGACGCAACCGGAGTTTGTAACCGGCCCCAGTTGGGAGCTTAAGGCGCTAACCACTCGGTCATCACTCCCAAGAGCGCATCTGGTGACAGTGACTTGACCTCGTATTGAATTAAGTTCCAACTGACATGACCGGACGTCTGCATTCCTTCAGCCTGATTGTCCGCAAATCAACTTTGACACACAATTGAGAGGCTTATAATTTCATTTCAAAGCTGCATAAAAATAAAGCGCACGCCAATAGAACCAGCACCGTTTCTGCTGCCCATATTATTCAGAGAAGTCACGTGTCCCTCACCCGCCATGCGGCAGCGTTCGTTTTCACGCCCCATCAGCTTGTGGCACCCCTCCTGCAGAAGCCCTGGCAACTTCTTGGCGATGTTTGTCAGTCGGCGTTCATTTTGGGCTTTCCACAGTGAACCAGACTACTATGCCGCTCGAAGAGGTTTACCGCAAAAGGCTTCCCGTAGCCCATTTGTACCGGTGAAATGAACTCGTGTCGTTCATTTGATCGCTTTTGAATACCTCCCAAATCCGACAGTCTAGTCTGATTTGATAAAAATTGTACTATATGCCATGTCAAGCACCTATATTCTGCCCGCTGTGAAGACCTCGGACATCAGTTATTGGCCAAATTTGCGCCAAATTTTGGTCCAGGAAACTTAATATTATGTCGTGCCTATCATACCGGCCTCGCCAGCGACTCTTGCTCATGGCCGCACCACGTACCCACGACCTGACATCGTTGGTGCATTGGGGAGCTAGTCTTGTGTCCTGACATGGGCGCATGTTTGAGATCTAATCCCACGTCATGAACTTCCTCGTCACTCCGTGGGAGTGACCCCTCATCTCCGTGAGAGTGACCCTTCATCTTCGTGAGAGCTTCCCCTCATCTCCGTGAGAGCGACCCCTCATCTCCGTGAGAGCGACCCCTCATCTCTGTGAGGGCGACCACTCATCTCCGTGAGAGCGACCCCTCATCTCCGAGACAATAACCCCTCATCTCCATGCCCTAATGTCCTATTCGCCTGACCTCGCGCCACCGCTGCAGGTGGCCGACAAGTACCTAGCGGGCCAGGGCCGAGGGGCTTCCGGCCGGCGCGCGTCAGGTCTGCTCGACGGTGACGACACAGACCCGCCGCCGGAGCCTGCGCCCCGCACCCTGTGACCCGACCGGTGCCCAGCGGCTCCCAAGTCCGGCCGTGACTCAGCCGGTGCCGAGCAACCCCGGGCAAACGCCGTAGACCCCAGCGGCGGTGACGGGCGAAGACACACCAACACGACCCGGGCCCAGCTCGGCCCGGACGTCTCCTGCCTGCGCCGCCGCGGACCCCAGCGGCAGCAACGGGCGAAGGGGCACCAACACGACCCGGGTGCCGTTGGGGTTGTCTCCCGCCGTCTCACCGGCCGGATCGTGAGACAAGGTCGCTGGAGTCTATTTTCACCTCATCGCCGCTAATTCGTGATGCGATTCCTGACGCGCGCTCTGAGGAGGAGACCCGACTTACAGGCCTAGCCTTTCTAGTCATTGGTCTATGCAGCGCAGCCGCTAGCTCCGCGACACTCGGTGTCATAGCATAGGTTCGACCTGGCAGGACAGAGTCCCAAACCGCTTGACGTAGCGCGGCCCCGCGTGTCGCCCACTCTGAGCCCAGAACTGACCTCCCACACCTCCCGGCTATGTAGTGCAGCAGCCCCTGGCACGACACGGCCCGAAAGTCACGCGCGGTCCTGAACTCCGTCCGCCACGACAGTCGCGCCCCTCCCCGCCTCGCCGTCGCGGGACCTGGCAGCTCAGCCCCGCCGAGTATCGGCCCGGTCCGCATCCCTCCAGCCCACGCTGCGCTCGCCGCCGGCGGAGGAGGCGGCTGATCAATACCGGGCGCGGAGCGCCGCACCGATGTGCACCCAAGCACAGAGTGCACGCGAGCACTCGGCCGTCGCTTCAGATCAGCTATCACGCGGGAAATATAGCCGTCGCACGTCGCATCAATTCGTGTTATTGCTTCTGAGAGCGCCGCCTTCGGCAGGCGCGCAGCGCCGGGCGCCGCCGCCGCCTCCCGGGGGCGGGACCTCCGGGCCCTCCGCCGCCCCCGGGGGCGCGCCAGCCCCTGCCCGCAAAGAGCAGTATCTGGTTTATTAGCGAGCCTGAATACAAGCGCGACGGTGCTGCCGCCAGGCGGCTTTCGGGGAATGCATCACAGGGGCGGTGCCGGCCGCCGGCGGCAATGAATAAGCTCTCACCGGCAAACTTTCCGTGTAAATAGTTGCCACCGATGATTCACCGCTAGCTAGCTACGGGTCGGGTCATCGCCGCCCGGCGCCGGCGCGGCCTATGGAGAAGCGTAACACTGCGAGCCGACATGTCGAACATCACAGACGGGCCGAGCCCTAGCTGACGGCGCCGCCAGGCCCGTCGCTCTTGAGGAAGTAAGTCACCACGAGGTCCTTGCCCTTGACGTACACCTCACCGCGCCGCTCGAACTGGAAGCGATGCGCCAGCAGCTGGGCGCAACGCTGCGTGGTCTGTATGCGACCCGGCACGCCGGTGGAGTCCATGCGACTGGCCATGTTGACCGTGTCGCCCCAGATGTCGAAGTACAGCTTGGTCGTGCCGATCACGCCCGAGGTGACGTCGCCAATGTTGTAGCCGATGCGCAGCTCCATCGCGAACTCGAACAGCGACACGTTGAAGGCGTCCACGGTCTGCTGCAGGTCAACGGCGAACTCCATCAGCTCGATCAGGTGTCTGTCGGGTGGGTCAGTGTGGCGCCGCTGGCTGGGATTCAGGCCAGACACGGCCATGTACGTGCTGCCGATTGTCTTGATCTTCTCCACGCTCGGGTACTTCTTAAGGAGGTCGTCCATGTCGCCGATGATCTCGTTGAGCACGCGCAGGTACTCCTTGCCGCCGTGGTAGGTCTCGTCGTACAGGTCGTTGAAGTTGATGATGCTGGCGAACACGACGGCCACGTCGTGGTGGTTCTCCGAGTACTTCGCCTTGGTCTTGAGCACATCGGCCACGTGCTCGGGAATGATGTTGTGCAGCAGCGAGTCGGCCTGGTGCTTCAGCCGCTGCACCTCGGCCTTGTCGCGCGCCGCCATCAGGTTCACGCAGAATCCCAGTCGGTAGCTGATCTCGAACTCCCGGTTCAGGATCCAGACGAGCGTGACGGCGGCGGCCACGGCGGCCGCCAGGTCGGCCACCGGCAGCGTCGCGCACTCGCAGCCGGCCAGCGCCGCCAGCAGCACGGCCGCCAACGCCGCCGCCGACGCCAACGCGCTCTTCAGCCAGCAGTTGAGCTGAGTGAAGTTGCAGAAGTGCACCAGGCCGACGAGCAGCGCGAGCAGGTACTGCTCGACGGCGCGGCTGCAGTCAGCGGCGCCAGCGCGCCAGACGGCGCACGGCCAGGCGGCGAACACCAGCGCCGCCGGCAGCGCCAGCAGCGACGCGCCGATGGCGTGGAACGGGTACCAGCCCGTGAGCCAGCAGTAGGCGCGCGCGAACGGCTCGCGCTCGTCGCGCGACACGCCGGCCGCCAGCCGAAACCACATGACGGCCTGCACGAGCGCCAGCCAGGCGGCGCCAATCGCAGCGGTGGCGCACCAGCCGGCCTCCGCGGGCAGCGTGGCCGCCAGCGCGCCGGCCAGCAGCGCGAACACCAGCGACGCCACCACCGTGTCCACCAGCGTGTTGTACTTGGGCAGCGAGAGCGCATTGGCGGCGGCGTGGTGGCGGCGCGCGTGCTGCAGCCGATACTGGCGCTCGAACTCGGGGTTGCGGTAGAACAGCGTCAGCCTGTCGATGGGCGGGTTGATGAAGTAGTTTGAGTGGCTGGACATCTGCTGCACGCAGCGGACCAGCTGCAGGTCGCTCAGCTTGCGCTGCACCAGCTGCTTGGCCAGCAGCTGCTCCGGCTCCTGCTGGTCCAGCTGGTCCGCTTCGTCCAGAACCATCTGCATCATGTCTGCAAAGCGGCGCGAGCGGTTAGGCCGGCGGCCACGGGGCGGCCGTATGACGATGCACGCGGCGGCCACGGCCCCTGTCACACAACCAGCGACGCCACCACGCGGCACGACACCAGCACACATCTCCGTACGACATAGACTCCAAACGGGGACGTACATATAGACACAAACACACACGCACACGCACACGCACACGCACACGCACACCCACAAGAAATAAATAATACACATATATTCAAAACAACAATATATATATATATATATATATATATATATATATATATATATCAAAATCATACGTTTACATGTACATCCGGTCGTTAACATCAAAGCCCGCGCCCCGTCTCTGCTTCGAGTTTATTTTCCCCACACACAATCGCGAGATAGTAGTCAAAAGTCCACTCCTGGACCACCCACGGACACCGGAGTCAGCATCACGCCCCGGCCGGCGTCATCACGCCACACCAGCCGTGTCAGTTCCACGTGTCAGCGACTACGCGCTGGGGCCGAGGACAGTCCGGCCGCAACAGGCGGCGCTGACGTCATCGGCACGCATCCCCATCCCGGGGGCGTCGCGCCGGCGCCGGCGCTTGTGCGACGAGGCCGCAGCCGGATTTATGGCGCTGGCCCAAC